GCATCATTTGCCAAGTTGCGATTGCATTTGGCTTTTGCCTTGACGTTTTCCAGGCTTATGTTACGACCAACTTTGAGGTTTGGCTTTAGAACGCTCGCTCAGACCAGAGGGACCGAGACTCTTTTTCTAGATTTTTCTCTTCATCCAGCTAACTGATCGACTAACTAAATCAAGTCTAATACACAGCCTTAGGTACTTTTTTAGAGAACACGTTTGTCGTTCTTGGAGGATTAAAGCTGCCTGTAAAATTAGCAATCCAACTATTTGCACAAGATTTGTAGAAGTGAATAACAAAGCACTTAATACTCTACGCTATTAAAAGTCGATTGTTGAAAACAAAGAAAACAACGGGAACTATGTTGTTGGTCCCAACAATTCAAAGGCCTCGAGACAAACCCAAATAAGAACACTACTAGCAAAACCCAAACAGGAACTATGTTGTTCCTTTTTTTCAACGCAGGCATAATAAATATTTTTTATCAATTTGGCAAAAGTATAAAAGTTCAAAGTTAGACACTTGGGCATAACACACTAATCAGGAAACGTAGCGTGGGGCTAGAACTATCTTCTGGACCCAATATCACAACGGCTTATGAGCAATATCAACTCTTGACTCTCGATTGCAAATTGATCGAGACCTGTTCATTGTGAATTCAATAATTACTCGAGAGGTTCAGTCTTCGTAGACAGTCGACGACGGTCTCAAGTTTTTATTTTGCGAAAAAATCGGTCTGCTGTCAGGTGCGATCTTCGAGTTGTCAACTTGCTTTACTTCGCCTAAGTTAGGGCTAACTTTAAGTCTCGGTACATCGGACTTATAGCGACTGTCAAAAAAATAATGTATTCTTCTGAATAAAGTATGTTGGTATCTTTATTTATCAGGTGTTGAACGCTTGTTGCGAGATGGTCGCGCGGGATGGGTGATGGGTCCAAGCAACGAAGTGATAAAACAGTTTGTTGGTAAATCTTCCCTGTTCGGTGTGGAATGTTTGGATATTTGGTAAGACATACTGGCGTCTGTAGGTCAGCGGTTAGGTTAAAACGAAAGCGTTGATGATGAATTGTGGCACTCACAACGAAAACGTAGTACTATTAGGTTGTAGCCATAGGATAACGTCACGGTCTTATTGGCGAGCGATTCGTAATCGTGTTTGTTTGAGGTTGCTTGTCATCTTGGATTCAGCAAAACAGAAGAAGCGCGGCTGAGGAGATGAATTGAATAAATTCATGCCAAGGGCTGAGAGGAATCAAACATGGCATATGTTCATAACGCTTACATGACGTCCTTGATAATAAGGCTGCAATGCATGCCGGCTCCAGAAGGTGACTTACCCTGCGCCCAAGAATTGTTCCCAATGTGTACGCAGCTGAGCTTATTAACTCATTTGTGAGTACCCTCAGTAATATTGAGAACCCATTCGATTTTTTTTTCCCATCCCGCCTGCACACACCATGGAAAACAGCGTTGGTCTGTCAGTTCATACATGTGGAAACATGCATGCTGTCTTACACACTTAAGTCGTTGCAGTTCGTGGCTCCGGGAAAGTATTTTATCGAGAAGATCCGATGTCTACTTCGATTATTATCTATTTTCTCTTCTATCTCTGCTTTCTGTACTCTGAAAGCTCTAAAGAAAATGATTTTATATTCACAAATGATGGATATGAGTGGGCATGCCAGCTGGCTGACCTTGGGAGATTAAACGTTTGTTTTTAGAACAATTGTTTTACGAGACTTTCGAAATGAACAACAAAGTACTTAATAATAACGCTTCCGATTAACTGAATCGACCTCTAATCGATCAATCATTAATTTAATTTAATTCATTAGATTCGCCAACAGGCAGGGACACCGCGACAGCTTGCGCCAATTACTGCGGGCCCAGTAAACCCACCCATTCCACCCCAGGGGAGGACATCCACCACACAGTAATCACGTGCGTGGGAAATTAATGTCTCCTACCACTAGCCCTGCCGGAGACGGGGCCTACAGTTTATTCGTCCTTATCCGAGAAGACTAGAATATCTATCCATTTCTTGATATTATAGAAAGGTAGCAAATTCTCCTCAGTTATTTTAAGACCCTGAGTGCTTGAACCCTCGACCTCCCGCACAACAGTCCGGCGCTCTACCAATTGAGCTGACCAGGAGGCGATTTTAGAATTAGAATATAGAATATAGAATTAGAATTAGAGTAGAGAAAGCAGAGATAGAAGAGAAAATAGATATTAATCGAAGTAGACATCGGATCTTTTCGTAAAATACTTTCCCCCAGAGCCACGAACTGCAACTACTAAAGTGTGGAAGACAGCACGCATGTTTCCGCATGTGTGAACTAATAGACCAACGTTGTTTTCCATGTTTTTTTATGCAGGCGGGATGGAAAAACAAACTAATGGGTTCTCAATATTACTAAGGGTACTCACAAATGAGTTAATAAGCTCAGCTACGTACACATCGGGAACAATTCTTAGGCGCAGGGGAAGGTTCTAAGTTAGTCACCTTCTGGAGCCGGCATGCATAGAATTAGTTTTGCGGACGCTGTAGCAACTTAGATCAGTATGGATCCCTTTATCCTTCTGAATTAGTCCGGAACCAGACATAAACGGCCAGGATAGTGTGAGCATTGAATGTATGAGTGATATTATCAAGGAAACTTAAATTAAACGCTGCACTATTACCTATAATCTTAGGTCTCAATCAGCCAATAGACGTACCTTGAATGCTGAATTGCTAAAACTTAAAGACGAAGAAAAGTTGGAAATCGCACAGCGGTTGATGCGTGAGGTTGAAATGAACGAGCCAGTAGGGAAAAGTGATTCATCACCCTACCAGGGCACAGAATTTGATAATCCATTCAATACTCAGCCATCGGCTACTAGAGGCCCCATCACTGATGACAATGGAATAGAACACCTAGCAGCTCTGAGCCCCGACTGTTTTTTCCCCTTGAAGCTCCTGTCCGTGATACCGCTAGGAGATAAGCAAGCTGAATTTCAGTTTGCTCTGCCCCAAGCATCTCAACATACTGGTTGTCTACCGGGCCAGTATGTCCAAGTCAGAGTGCCACTAGAAAAGGACGGCGAGAGGTACTGTCAGCGGTATTTTTCACCAGTAAACGCCACTACAGATTTTGGCCGAATAAATCTGGTGTTGAAGTTTGAGAGCCATGGCCAATTATCGCAGAGATTTAAGGCACTTAGTCCAGGTAAAAAAGGAAAGTCAAAACGTAAGGTTCTTAATTAGTCGACAACCTCAAGTCAAGAGGTTTATACATAGCAACGAAAGTGGGAGAAAATGTTGCCGAAGCTTCGGTAATAGAATTGAGCCTATTACAGCGCGCAAGTATTTAATTTTAAAAAAGAAAAAGTAATTGTTTTGAATTTCTTTGATTTCTCCGTACAAACTCTACTTTTTTTTCGTACGTTTCCCTCTGTTTTATGTACGTCTTATTTGTTAAGGGAGTGGCTCTGCTAACAAGTTGGACAAGTTCAATTTTGATGATTTTACTCTTAATTTGAAAAGTCACTGCTTTAGCTCGTTTCAGCTTTCATCCGATAGGTCCTGAGAAAAAGGGGAAAAAACCTGTGTCTAACTCTCACTGATTCGAGCTTATGCGTTCAAATTCCCTTCAAGTTTAGAACTTACCACCTACATGCCTATGATCGAGTTTGTGTACACTGTTTCAGTTCTTGCCTTCACAATTTGTGCTTTGATGATGTTTAGGTGACCTGGTGGAGTTCCGAGGCCCATGTGGAGGATTTGAGTACGATTCGAACTCAGTCAAACATCTCAGTCTTGTGGCCAGCGGTTCAGGTGCAACCCCGTGCATTCAAATTGTGCGTGACATTATGGCTGACCCTGGAGACCAGACTTCTGTGTCCATGCTGTACTGCGCGGAAACTGAGTCAGAGTTTATGTTCAAGAGTGAGTTAGATGACAACAGTGCACGTGATGAGCGTTTCCAAGTGTTTTACACACTCTCTAGAGGTGCAAGGAAAGTAACTTGGCAAGGGGGAGAGGGGCATATCGATAAGGACATGATCAGTAATCACCTGGTAGGACCTCAAGAATTGGAGCACAAAATACTATTGTGCGGTGGACCCACCATGATTGTATCAGTAATGCAGATCTTGTTTCATATGGGATATTCCAGCCACCAGATATTTGTTTACGGTCCGTTTGGCGTAGAGCAGGTTAGGGCAGTATTTGGAAGAAATGCTAAGTTGTCTTCACATCGCTTAAGCCGATAGGCGAGCGAAGTAAGCTTATAGAACAAACTTCATTTTCATAGTTGGTTATCAGTACGCAATGCTACAGCAACAAGTAATCGTGAGAGAAAATTTTACGGGGTTTTTATTATTTTGGAATCTTATCATCCTGTCCTGAAATCATATAATGGTGTTCAAAAATAAAGGTTGTCTCCAAAAAGATTTTTTCCACGCGTCATTTTACAGGGGGAACATGGCGGCTTAATGCTTAACTAAAAACTGATCTAGGCTTCAGAAGCTAGCAAACGTAAATTTTTTCTCAGAAGTTAAGACTGGTGAGGAGTTGCTCCTGATCATCCGTCACACATGAAGGAGAAATAATTAATCTTATTATATCATCAAGGTACAAAGGAAATACTAAATAAGTAATTGGTGTTCAGACTTGGCTTCCCAAACAGTAAGGCTATACAAAACTATTAATAACATTAACCTTGATAAATATTGATGATCCTCAAGAAAATATGCTCTCTTAAGATCCTACAGGACTGGCAAAACCAATTTTTTCGAGGAGCCAGAGCGTAGAATGTTACTGGAGATTCTTGAATATTTTGGTGAAGACAGTCGAAAGAAAACTTTTTCAGATACTTACATGACATAAAATGTGTCTGAAAATAAACAAAAATATCGCATCTCTTTGTCTCTCGGCCTCAAGCAGTACTTCAGATTAAAATTATCATAATGACAAAGAAAGCATCAAGGCGTTTCCAACTCATGCTAATTAGCTCGCAAACGAAGCCCTGTTACTGGTCGCGGTCAATACATTCGACTCTGCTAATTTACACATCACTTTCGAGCGCGTCTGTTGCAAAGCCGTTAAACTCTCCGTTTCTTCGCCACAGCACTTCCTTTTCTTCAGAGGTAAGTGTCAGTATTTTTATAATGAAGTTCGGTTCTATTATAAAACAATTCTGATCTACCTGAGCCTGGGTTAGTTAAGGTATGAACAAGAAAACGAGTTATATTCCTGTGTTAGCGCACTTAAGTGAAGCAAAATTTGTTCGGTTTCTTTTGATACAATGACGTCTCGTGTAAGGAATCAAAGTTGCTTGATGACATAAAGGATACACCGCCAGGTTATTTGTGTCACCTAGGTGGTAAAATTCCATTTGTAAGCTGTAAGAGAGGGAATAATTTGGAATATTCCGCACCCACGCCAACAGCACACATCATATTAGCTTCTTCAAAAGTGCAAGGTATTTACTGCAGGATATAACGTTAGAAATGGTATCTGAGAGAAAACGAGATAAAGAAACGTGTTATCACCAAAAGAAAAGCTGTTGTTTTTCACCCAGCGATACGTAACGTCCACGATGAGAGTCTGAGTTAAAGATATTTATTCATCTCTTTTGTAATCATTTCGTGACGTGTAACGCTAAGACTATTTTAAGATTTTGATGTGCTTGCCTGTATTTCTATGCTTTACTTAGGAAACCAAAACTAAAGTCAAAAAATGTCTCAGAGTCAGCTTTCTCGAGTGATTAATCAATGGATTGTTCGAGAAGCACTTGTATTTTCGAATAATATTTACTCACCATTTTGAGGGTTTCTTAAAATATTCATGGACACTTAGTCATAAAAGAAACTCACCATGATGCCAGGGTTTTTTCATTTTTCTTCTCTCGATCGGTCTCACAGTTTTTGTTTCATTTCTTTGAAAAACAGTAACAGTGGAAGGTTGAAATGTTTCACATCGATGACTCATACCGTCTTCTTCGCGAGCCTTGCTATCAACACCTTATACAACAAAACCGCAAAACTAGAATTTTCCATTTTCATTTTCACCAATGATAGTGAGTAATTAACAAATGTAGTTCCTCTTTGAAAAGCGAAGTTATCACGCAAAATAGCACTTTACAGATAATTCAATATTCTACAAGACATTCTGCTGCAATGATGGATGATAGATTCTTCTCAAAAATGGCAGTTGGATATTCAAACTATTTAACATCACATCAAAAGGCCGTTTTGAACCCAAATAAACATCTTCTTTGAAGAAGCCTTACAAAGTTTCATTTCTTAAGGAACTATTCCAGTTGGAAATTGTTTTTACTTTTTATGAAACACAACAGACATTGAACCTCGGTTGCGTGACAAATCCATAGCGAAAAATTTCAGATTGTCATTTCTAAGATGACAGCAGTTGAATAGATTTTCTTAAAATTTTCAGTTCCATATATTCTAACCATGTTTTTTTCTTTTCGGATGATTTCATCTTGATCAATATCTAATTTCAGTGGCCATTTTCCAGACAGTTCTGTCAGTCAAAAGAATATTTGGCTAATTTATGAACGATATCACAGGTATCAAAGCAACCGGAATATTCTTTATGTATATAGATTGCTCATTTTTCTTGCGGAATTTCATGATGTTATCGACGGCATTTTGCGTACGGCTAACTCTAAATTATATAATGTTGCCGTAAATATTTGCACGCCTGACATGTCTGCATGCCTTGCGGTTCCAACTGCTTAATTTTTCTGCCTGGTTACTAAGCACGGGAGTGGCGTATTGCTTCTCCAATCTCCATAAATTTGATAGAACAGTTTCTTTTGGCAGGTACAAATGAATTTCCTTTCTTTATTTGTTTAAAAGCTCAGTTTCGTTTTATGTAGGATTGGTGTGTTAATTGAGGGTATTTATTCTCTACAACATACACTTTACTTTTCATCGTGTCGAATCCACATGCAAATTATTAGACTCTGTCACTTGATGTAACAGTTGCATTGTAGTTTACTACGCTAGGAGACGCATTGAGGGCTAAACGATATTTGTAGTCGTCCGCGTAATGTATAATGCTTTAAACGTTCACCATGATAATGTTTTTTTTTTCTGTGAAGGGTTTTCAGAAGTATTGATACACAACCACGACATGGCTGACATGGCTGACGCTCCTGCTGCACTGAAAAAAGTTAGGGATGCTTGTAAAAAGAGAGGGGCGACCGGAGCTAAAGGACTTGGAAGGTTCGTTTGTATATCGATATATGTAGCCCAATAGACTGCTCTGCCAAGTAGTACCATAAGTAGGATTGCCCTCAGTATTGTAAAACTACCACAAGCAACAAGTTGAACAGTTATTTCAACCTTCAGTCTTGACCCTAACTGTTAGAATCAAAGTGTTCTTGTAGAATCATTCCTCGCAGGCTACTACCAGAAGATAGATTGATAGATAGATAGAAACTTTATTAACGTGTCAAAGAACCTTCTAGTTTTGGAGATATCCCATACTAATATGGGGACACAAGTAAAATGGGTAAAAATTATTTACTAAGAATATTACCTACTTAAGAATAAATGTATAAAATTGTAAATGTATATCATGTATAAAAAAAAAAATGAAATGAATGAAGAAGTACATAGAGCACAGCCCCTGCAGCCATCATCTAAAAGGGAGCTGAGGTCATGCTTACGTACGCAGATTTTTAAACTAGCTAATGTTGTGGCTGATCTGTCATAAGTTGTCAGTTTACTCCATAATTCAGGTCCTAAGTAGCGTAGTGAATGTTTGCTGTAAGTTATTGTGTTGTATCTAGGAAAAGAAAAGTTGACCCGTCTAAAATTATAGGAAGCGTTACGTTTCTGAAATATTTTACAAATATTCAAAGGGCTAAGGTTGTGTTTAACTTTGTACATTAAAATGCATATATACTGTAAGTGTCTGTTTAGTAGCGAAGGTAAATCGGTCAGTGTAAAATGCGGACTGCAGACTGGGGGTAAAATTCAGACTGAGGGTAAAATGCAGACTGCAGACCAGGGGTAAAATGCAGACTGATGGTAAAATATTAATAATAAAAAAACCAGTCTTGAGGATGAAATTAAGAGTGTTCGTACTCGAATAATGTCACGTCAGGACTCACGAAACACACAAAGGCCGCTACATGTTATAATTTTTCGTGTTTGGATAGCCCACCGTCACCTTTCAGCAATATCAATTCACAAACCTCTTGATACATTGAAGTTGAGTACAAAGATTGAATGTCTTTTACAAACTATGCTCGATACCTATAAGTTAACCTTGCCTTGTTGTTGTGCTGTCGTGTTTTGCTTGCCTTGTTCTTCCAAACAATTCCAAGGCCATATGAAGAATTTGATCACTGAAAGAGTTACTTGGTCCCAGACCTATTCGCGAAAGCACAATTCAAAATGGCCGACATGTAAACAAAGGTAAGATGCATAGCATTATGATCAGTTTGGGCGCTTTTGGGAAACTTGGTTCAACAAAATGGGGAGTTCAAGAACTCGAGGTTGATAATATGTTTGACTAAGGCGAATAAACCCCTTTTGGTTTGAGTTTTCGGGATTTTGAAAAAAAAAATTATGAGTAAGCGTAGGAACACTCCCAAGTCTTGTTTTTTATTATTAATAATTTATTTTACCCTCAGTCTGCATTTTACCCCTGGTCTGCAGTTTGCATTTTACCCCTGGTCTGCAGTCTGCATTTTACCCTCGGTCTGCATTTTAACCCCGGTCTGCAGTCCGTAGTCTGTGTTTTACACTGACCGAAGGTAAATTAGCTTTCTGCAGCAAACATTCATAGGTGGAGTGTTTATCTTTGAATACAGCCCTTAGGCCTCTTTCTGTTTGAGTAATCCTTCTCAAGAGGGAATGGGTACAGAAAACCCTTCAGTGAAATCAAAAGAATGGAGTTAAATTGGCTATGACAGGGTCTCAACTTGATCTTTGTGCAGCTACCTTTTAGGCCACTTACCAAAGTATAACAATAATAATTTTTTTTTAAGTCGATAATGTAGGAAGTGGTGGCCCAATCATTTGAGTTGGTGGCCCATGTTAAAAACACTTGACTCCAGATGGAATAGTCCTTTGTACAGTTGTGGGTTTGGTGGCGAAGCCTTTGAACAGGAGTGAGGCTAAGGGTGACCCTGTTGTGATAGAGACCTGTATCTAGTTAGCATGATAACAAAGAAATTTGCATTTGAAAAGCAGCAACATCTCTATAAACAGGTCTCTATCACAACTGGGTCACCCTTAGCCTCACTCCTGTTCAAAGGCTTGGCCACCAAGCCCACAATTGTAAAAAGGACTATTGGAATTTGGAATGTTGGTTTTTGTGGAGGGAGGAAAACTGGAGGACCCGGAGAAAAACCCTTGGAGCAAGGATAAGAACTAACAACAAACTCAAGCCATATGTGATGCCATGTTCGGGAATTGAACCTGGGCCACAGTGATGGGCAGACTAGTAATGGAAATTAGGAATTCAGTTTGGGGATTATCAGGGGTTTCATTAACTGCCTCCTGGTTAGCTCAATTGGTAGAGCACTGGACTGTTGTGCAGGACGCCAAGGGTTCAAGCCCCAGCCAGACTAACACTCAGGGTCTTAAAATAACTGAGAACTTGCTACCTTTCTATAATGTCAAGAAATGGATAGATATTCTAGTCTTCTTGGATAAGGACGACTAAACCGTAGGTCCCGTCTCCAGCAGGGTTAGGGGTAGGAGACCTTTATTTCCCACGCACAAGATTACTGTGTGGTGAATGTCCTTCCCTGGGGTGGGATGGGTGGGTTTACTGGGCCTGCAGTAATTGGTGCAAGCTGTTGTGGTGTCCCTGCCTGTCGGCAAATCTAATAAATTAAATGAGATTGAATTAAATTAACGTTTTCAGCAGGAAGGTAACTGGTTTTCACAGGCAAGCAAAACTTTTTGAACTGAACTTCTTTTTAAGATAAACTTTCCTCCAGATGTTCAAACCAGGTGGGCAAAACTGTCCTTACAACTAGTCAATTTGCCTGGTACCCAGCCCCTTATGAAACCCCTGGATTATTAGTTGAACCAATACTAAATTCTCAGAACTAAGATCATAGGAATTGTATAGCAGACAGTAAGGAGAATAAGTGATCCAATCATGGCAGTGAAAGGGTTAATCATCAGCATCATCACTGACCTAGCTGGTTTCCACTTTCTCTTCTTGCTGATAAGAATAAATTTGAGAACTGTTACTTGATTGGAGCTGTTCATTTTTTCATTTCTCAATTTTTTTTCATTTTTTATTCAGAGCTTTTCGAATCTATGATGATGACCATAACCTCACTCTGGACTTTGATGAGTTCAAAACAGGTCTAGAAGACTATGGAGTTTCACTAACACCCGAGGTAAAACAATTTGAGTAATAGCTGAAGTCCTTGTAAAATAATATTTCCCAACAAAATTGAACAACACCCTAACACCCTGATCTTCTTGTACCAATCACTAAAGTGAAAAAGAAAACTTAGGTTTTAGAGTTTTGTTCAAGATGGAAACAGATAGGTAGTTAAGAACAATAGAATGCATTTTCAATCTGGATGAAATTTTCATACAATCAAACCCATATTAAGCTGTACCATATTCACAGTATTAAGTGGTCAATTTTCAAAGTCTCGAAATTGTTTCCCCTTATTTACTGTAATTTGAAATTGTTTCCCCTTATTTACTGTAATTTGAAATTGTTTCCCCTAATTTACTGTAATTTTCACCTACATTAAGTAGTCACAGTTACCCTTTAAAGTTCCAAGTCACTTGTTTGTATTGTCCTCCACCTGTATTGAATGGTCACTTAAAGCAGGAGCACTATTTAGTANTACTGTAATTTGAAATTGTTTCCCCTTATTTACTGTAATTTGAAATTGTTTCCCCTTATTTACTGTAATTTGAAATTGTTTCCCCTTATTTACTGTAATTTGAAATTGTTTCCCCTTATTTACTGTAATTTGAAATTGTTTCCCCTTATTTACTGTAATTTGAAATTGTTTCCCCTTATTTACTGTAATTTGAAATTGTTTCCCCTTATTTACTGTAATTTGAAATTGATTCCTCTTATTTACTGTAATTTGAAAGTGTTTCCCCTTATTTACTGTAATTTGAAATTGTTTCCCCTTATTTACTGTAATTTGAAATTGTTTCCCCTTATTTACTGTAATTTGAAATTGTTTCCCCTAATTTACTGTAATTTTCACCTACATTAAGTAGTCACAGTTACCCTTTAAAGTTCCAAGTCACTTGTTTGTATTGTCCTCCACCTGTATTGAATGGTCACTTAAAGCAGGAGCACTATTTAGTAGAACTAGGAATAATCTTTGAAGTAAAATTGTATCCATTTTTATCTCCCAAAATCAATGTAAGTAGTATTTTGAGCATGGGTTTTATGCCTAGTGGCTAATTAAAGCATAAAATGGCATATTTTAATTTCTTTTAATAATATATCTATTCTGTAGAACCCGTATTTAGAGGACACCTTGCCATTCCCTGTGGATGACTGCTTAATTCAGGGAATTGTTCTTTGAAAGTGACATTTTTCAAATTTATTTTTGGTAGAAAAATAAACTGAAAGATTGTTTTTTTCAAAAGTAACAGTGTAAGTTTACGCACATGTCAGGCAGTGTTCTTATTCACATGTGTTGATGTTGTGTTATAGGAAGTCAAGGAACTGTTTAACTATTTTGACAAAGACAACGAAGGGACAATTAATATTGATGAATTCATTCTGGCATTCAGGGTAAGTTTTGAATGTTGCAAATCTTTTCTTCGTGCCGTATAATTGATTCCTTGAAGTTTTATTTCTAAAGCTTTTTGTTCATCAGTATTCATGTATCATTGCTGTCTGGTATGTGATATAGTCCAGTAGTAATAGCCCTTTTTGTAATTTGAAAGTCAATGTTAAACAGTAGACTCTGGCATGGTGCTATTGCAGCCAGTCTGAACCACCGATAACAGAATTTTGCTATCTAACAGATATGTCAGACTATATCAGGCAGTCCTTAAACTGTTCCCACTATTCTAATGGTATGTTTTTGGAAAAAGTGTGAAACAGGATTCCTATGAAGGCCTTTTTTTTTTAGGTTACATTAAACCAGTAAGACTGGCAAGTTTCAGTTGCTGGTAAGCACCCCATATGCCTTTCATTAAGTATCATTTTGCCATGGTAACAACATTCATAAAAAAAATTGACACTCAAGGCATGTCTTGTTTAATTGCATTGTTAATGATTCTGTTAAATCTCTAGAGGTGATTGTTACTGCCAAAAGGCAGGTCTTTTCGTGGCCGCTTACAGCAATGATTACAAATGCTCAATCGGAGGGAGAGGTTTGAACTAATGAAGAACCAACAAAAAATATAAGCTTACAAAATGCAGAAATATAAAACTGAAAGGCGGCTAAAGTGAATGTGATGAACAAAATAACTAGGAACTTACATTGTATCGGCGCCATAGGCTGCGAAAAGGCAACTCTAAACCAGATGTTCTCTTAAGACAAGATGTTCTCTCGATGAAATCAACGATGAAACTAAAAAGCTAGAATATTAACAACATGTAAATTATACCAAATGTGGGAAAGAAAAACAAAACGTATTCCCAAAGGAATGCTAATGAACTGAAATAAAATGCAGAGAATACTAAACTCTACAGTGATACCAATAGAAGTGATTAACATGTAACCATACATAGTATCCATACATTATCCAGCAAACATGTAATAAGAATACTCAAACTCATCAGGAAGAAGTTTTTGTTTTGATCTAACACAAAATTCTTATTGCTAATTTACAAGGAAACATGGGGCAGTCAGAGGGGAGAATTGAAAATCAAATCTTGGGGAGTTAAAGGGTTATTAACTAGATTTCCTTTAGCAACTTGGGCTGTGTAGGGGTGGTTATTTGTGAGTACTCTGGGAAGCCACCTGTAAGTCAATGAAAAGTTTTGAAATGTGGACTGCACTTGATGCCACCTCTACATTGCCTTTTTAAACCATTCCTCATTATCACTGGAACAGCACAATAAAGATGAAAGAAAATTGATATGGCTTCATGTTAGATAACTTCAGCAACTCTTAACTTGACCATTATCCTCGCTTGTATTTTGTTTTAGTTATTAATTTTTTTTCAGAAGTATTTTATCATGAGATTTGCATTTTTCCTCAGTTTGAGTTTCACATTGGAAAATGTGCTTACTAGATTCTTTCAAATAAATTTTGGTGTTCTTTTCATTCTTAAGTAGCTCTTAGAAAATCTCATCTATGAAAAGAGTCATATTTTATTCAACAAGGTTTCAAATTCCTCTTTGCAAGGACAGGGGCTTCAAAGCATCCATTATCATGTGTTAGATTTTGGTTTGTTGTCTGCCATTTTGAAAATCTAATGGTGGGAGTGAAGTTCACAGAGCACTAGACTCATACTGTACATGTCCAGCAGTTTTTCTGCTGTGTTGTGTAGTCAGAGCATTTGACTGGAAAAAGGGTCAGGCTGGATTCCACTAGAGGGTTCAGATTTCCTTCTATTTGTTGGCTTAACACAAATGTACACTCAATTTACCTTCCTTTGTAGACAATTGTATGAAAATATTTGTTTTAAATCTTACTTATTAGCTTTCATTCATTTGTAGAAACCTTTATCAGGAAGTAGACTCAAAGTGGTTGAAATGGCATTTAAGAAAGCTGACAGAACTGGTGATGGTGTGATCGACCATACTGATATGAAGAAGTAAGCTGTTTTTAATTCAGTAGCAGCACTATGTTTGACTTTGATTTTATGTAGTAGTGTCACACATATGGGTAGTAACAGCACTCCCAGTTGCTTCATAAGGAGGAAAGCTTCAGCCATGTGGGCATTTGGTCTTCAGCAGAGTCCAACAGTACCTGATCTTCAGTGCTGAAATACTCTAATGCAAATTTATTTTTTCTGTGCTTACCCCTGGAACACACAACCCAGGAACTCATAACCATTTACACCAACACCTACTTGAACTCCTACACAAACCACATTGTTGTACACTCCCAAGAGTGGTATTCCTACAAGGAGCTGTATACTACGTTAGAAGTTATGTCCTGAATTTTGCCTTTGTTTGAAGCCTCTGTTAGTAGACACCCCAACAATTGTCTGCAGATTGCTACTTGCTAGTTGAGTTTCAAACAATTTTCCATTTTTGTTTTTTAAAATACTGGTAATTGTTCAAAAACTTATTTAATTTAAAATTGTTCTATTAGTCAGTTATATTCTTAGTTTTCATGTAACGTCACCAAAACTAAAAAAATAAAGAATTATCAATTCTTTGAGATTATAGTTTAGTTAGCTATTACAACAGCTAAATACTTTACAAATTTCAGGTTGACAAGGCTTTTGTCTTATGATAAGGCAAGGTTGAATTTCTAAGCTTATGCATGACACGATGTTAGAATTGAGGCTGAAATGCTGCCACAAAGGTTGAAAAAATCTGAACAGTCCTTGTAAGAGAATAAGTACTCTTGTAGATGTTAGTGAGCCCTCAGAAGATGACTACAGGCTTTTCGTGGCAAAACTCGATGATATATGGTGCCTGTGGTGCCTTTGATTCTTGACTTTATTGTTGAATTGTTTTCATGATGGTGTGACAGTGAAAACTGGAAATAAAAAGTGTTAGAATGATTTTATAAAAATTGTTTAGGTGATACACAAAAGATTAAGGTTTATTTTTCACAAATCCCAGTATCAAGAAGCCAACAGATTCAGATTAACATTTTTTTCTTAAACAGAGTTATGGATTTAGTTATTGAATCACAGCAGATCTGGGGATCTGCATATCCTTATTCACCCCCCTCTCAAAGGTACATCTGGAACAATGGTGGAGAAAGGAGGAACTTTTTAATGAATGAAAACAATGAAGCAATTAGTAAATATATCTCTTTTCCAATTTCACCCTCCCTAACCTTTAGCCACCAAGCAATAAAGATGGTTCGAGTACAAGTTGTTAAAGTGGCAACTCTTGCAGCAAGTTTAATGTATTCTTATTTACATGTAACCTGTAAATTTGTTTATTCTTGTCACTTGTATGCTAGATATTGTTTTATTTCTGTGAGGTGAAATTCTGTCTTGGTCACTAATGGGTGTTAAAGGTTGAAATAAGTGTCAGTGACAATGACTCGACTCTTTTGCTTCATTAAGGGTTTACAATGCTCGAGAACATCCCAAATACAAAAATGGTGAACGGACTGAAAAAGAGGTATTTGAGGAGTTTCTAAATAACTTTGAGCCAGACTCAACAAGAGACGGAAAGGTTGGTAAACTTTTTGCTCATTGTATTTGCCCTGTAGAGCTCTATATGTATCTAATATAGATAGTTCTGAATCAGTAACTGATCACAAATAAGGTCAAAGTGTGGTTCAAATAAAAAAGAGGCATGTGTGGCGAAATGTTAATGGTGACATCATGGGTGCATCTGTCCTCCAATAGTTCTTAATAGGTAAAGACCGGTCAAAATGAGTTACCTTGCCCAAGGATAAAGAATAATTGTGATATCAAGGGCCTCATTTACCCTCATTTTAAAGCAGAAAATGTGTGAAAATGACCTATTTTATTCTCTGTTCGTATGGAATTGTACTTATTGTTATGAAGACTGTTAAAAAAAATCAAGGTTTATTGTGAAAATTGAGCTGCTAGGTCAGCCAACAGTAAGCATCCAAAGTCTGTGTGTTCAAAAAGAACCTGCAATAAGTACAGACACTTGGTACTGAGGGTATTATGCCAAAGTGGCTTGACTGTGAGTGCTCATGGCTGTTAGCTGCCATTGTTGCCAGCAATGACAAAAATTAACTAATCATAAGGTCTAGTTATTTCTATTATTATAGTATTTTATTTCCCTCTGAATTGTAAATATTTATAATAGCCTGTAATCCCAGTCCCTCAAAAACAAATGTAATTTCATCTTTTCCCGTAATATATTTGTAAACACTGTAATTCATAATTTTGTGCCATTGTGTGTAGTTTTTTAATAAACCATCATCATCATCAATACTCTTGTAATGGCCTGTTTATTTTTTTCTTCTTTAGGTCACAAAGAAGGAGTTTTTAGAGTACTATGCTTGCTTAGGAGCAAATATCGACAATGATGCCTACTTTGATCTGATGGTCAGAAATGCATGGAAAATATAGTTAATGTTGTCTTGTTCTACTGTTTGTTTAAAGTTTCATTTATCCAATTTTTGGTTGATCTTGAGCCAGTCAGTCTTTCAAATGACTTACAGAACATGAAAGGTATATGAAATGTGATGCAAATTCTCAAACAGATTATAAAATTGAGGTGGCCATTTGAATCTGAATGTCTTGAAAGCAGTTACAATTTGCAGTATGGTGAGTTGTATATTAGTACCCATAAGTGACAAATTATAATATTTTGTCATCATTGCTGTTGGGATCCATTACAAACACTTTCATAACATTGTAAGGACTAGTTTTAGAGTGGCCTTGTACCCTTCAAGGATTTAAGGACCTGATTTAGTTGTGTTCATGGTTAGGAGTTTGATGCATTAATCACATTTATGGCAGCAAATGAAACTAGGGGTGTTCGATACTTTACAAGTTATTTGTTATAATTCTCAGTGCAGTTAAAGATTATTTACACAATTAATTTTGTTATTGAAATGTACTTAGCATTTTTAAGAGTTAGACAGTAACATACAGGACTTGACACCAACTTTTCAACTTACTAGTCAAGTGGCTTGTGACAAAGTAGATGTTACAACAATTTCTGTTTGTTTACCAGCCAAACTGGCTAGTGGAAATCAAAAACCACTGGCCAAAATGGAATTTCTACTAGTCCATGGCTAGATGGCTACCGTTAGTGTTGAGCCCTGAACATAAAGTATATTGCATTACGCTTGAATGTTGTCTGTAACTGTTAAATTTAACTTTGTAACTGCTTTTTAGTAAATGAAACTTGATACTTGGTTACCATTTTAATGTTTTTAATAGATATGAGCATTTTATTACATACAGAAAGAGTAGTAATGATTTTTCATGTTTTAACTGGATGAATAAACGTGACACGTTAAACAAAAGTGAATTGAATGAAATTTTGAATACAGCCAAACCTCTATTATTAAACAGCACTGTATTAAGTTGTCACCCTGTATTGAGCAGTCTTTGGAAAAGTCGAGAATTAAGCAGTCATGGTCACCTTTACTGAGTCCAATGGCCTGTTTGTATTATCTTCAACCTGTATTGAACAGTTACTTTAAAAAGGAACCACTCATGATACTAGAAATAATCTCTCATGTCAAATTTTTCCCATGTTTATCTCTGGAAATCAATGTAAGCACTGTTAGTTCAAATGTTCTCAACACTTTCCAGATTATCTTTCTTCTTATGATTGTAAGGAGAAAATAACCTTTTTCATCGGGTTTCACCCCCCTTCTGTGGAACCTGCATTGCACCTTTAACCTGTTGTGAGAGGTCAGTCAGCAATTCCCTGTGTGTGACTGCCTATACAGGTGCAGCTGTACTTTGTGCTGACGTGATTGTTTTGACTAAACACTTATGCATAAGACAATCTGGAATCCTTCAAGTAAGCTTAAAAGGTTTGTACTTTTTAATGCCATTTCTTTGATAAATGAATGCTACCTAGCTTTTCCACATGCTACCTTGAAATGGTGTCTAAAATTGTCCACTCGTGTCCCAGTATTTACTGATCATTTGTGATATACTGGGTTACCACAACAATGCTACATCATCTCAGAAATGCCTGTCATTACATACGCAGATCCAGAGGAGGGGTTGAAGGGGTTGCAACTCCCCCTTTGAGCAGGAATTGTTTCTTGTTACTTTGTTTGATTCTTAAATTAATAAATGAAATCGTTTTTTTCACAAAGTTGTTTCACTTCCACTGGATCCCCTTAAGAGCTCACATCAGAGGCACTAGGCCATCACTTGCTTTCCACACCAAGGGTGTTGAAGGTTACTTCAATAGTGTGCAACCCCCCCCTTTCAGAAATTCCTGGATCAGCCCTTGCATTGAAAGAGCAGTATTATAAACTCAATTTAAATAATTTATTTCAATTTCCAGATCGATCATTCTACCAAGTTTTAAATTTTCATATTCCATTCAGAGCAACCTGAATTTATCAAACACTTGTATTGCGTCCTAGTGAAAATTAAGATTAAATATGATTTTAAATTGTAGCCTTCTGTAACTGTAACCTCCAAAAGTTACTCAGAGTGGAGAAGACTATTCGAACGCACAGTCTAAAATGTGGTTAGGTAATCAACATATATAACAAAGAAAAATAAAGAGATCGGTGTGTAATCACGGATGAAAAGGGCGAAGTAGAGATTGAAGATTGCGAAGTTATCATTGACGGTTGTAGCTGAATTTGTTCGGCTGAATTTGTGTGGTTCGAACTAAAAGAAAATACAGCAGGAACTAAACTAGTAAATATCTCTGAGAAATGTAACACTAACAATGAAGTGAACTGAAAGCCAGAAATAAACCAATGTACGTACCAAAAAGAGAAAATATCTTCAATGTAAAATAAAGAAAGACTTTGGTCTAGCTCCTAGTGATAGTTTAGCAGACAAAATTTAGTAGTATCAACAGCAACTAATAGCGATGAAGTATGAAATAAAATATCTGACTGAAATAAGATTGAAATTAAGCAATAATCACTAACAAACGAACATAAGTGGCAATGTATACGAGCTACGCGTTCCGAAACTAACAGTAATGACATATTAAGTATCCAGTGACTGTTGAAGATGCACTCTTGTGTAAATCACATCGTCTCATACCTTCCTCTTCTCTTTCAGAAGATCTCATGCGTCCTGTTTTCTTACTAAATGATTGATACAGGTTACCAGTTGTGAAAGGAATTTTATTCCAAATGACAAATAAATAATATTAGAGAACCACCTTTTAAGAATAGAAAGCAAAGCCCATGCAGACAAGATCATTCCTTCCATGAATTCCTTCCTTCCCAAAGAAGAAGTCAAGGGGCGATGGAAGTTGGCCTTCTATGGGAGGGGTTTGGAATGTCCCATTTGAATCCGACTAAATTCACAACAGAGCTGTAACATTTTAAAACTCCCCACCACTATGCAGGGTAGTAAAATAGCCAAAGCAGTCCCAGTTTGACAGCTTCACGTGAGAGAGAATGCATGAAAACCATTCCATTTTCTACTGATGTAAGAAGTCTTTCAGCACGTCATTCACTTTGGTGGAATCTAGTGGAACTTTAAACGATTCTTTGGTTTTCAGAACGTCTTCCTCTGTGAACACTTTCCCACTTTTCAAATATGGAAGAATTTTTTCCTCAAACTCTTCTGCTGTACATTCAGGGTGAAACTGGACTCCAAGAATGTTATCGGCAAATAATACCATTTCGTGTTCACAACTGTTGGAACTAGCGATGGTCTTGGCATCTGGGGGAAGTTCTGTCACGCATTCACTGTGTGACTCCAGCAAACCTAAAGGACCATTCTCGAACAGTTTAGATACAACTGGATTTGTATCGCTGCTGTTGTGGGTAGCCTTCACGCTCTCGGTTTGTAAAACGAATTTTCCCGAAGGATTCTTGCCCACAACTCCACCAAGAGCTTTCGAAACGAGCTGATGGCCGAAGCAAAGACCAACTAAACGTTTGGAGGGTGATTTTTTCGCCAAGGTAGCTATAAATTGCTCGGTTTTTCGAATCCATTCTTTATTGTCATTGACTGAATAGTGGCTTCCGGTGATGATGAACCCATGATATTTATCGAGATCTTCCGTTGAGGGAACTTCTCCACCGCAAGCATTGAATCCCCTCCATTCCTCATCATCTTCACGATGGTAAAGTTCAACATGACGTTTGAGCATCACGTCTCTTCCTCCCCATTTCTCTGCATCCTCACAGAGCAAAACTGCAAATCGTTTCTGTTCCATTGTTTCAGAACTCATTGTTTTGTTCAAGAGCGGTACCTACCATTATCACGTGACGCCATACACCACTTCACGAGTGCGTGACCATCGCCGATGTTACGCAGGTCACAGAGTTGTCATGCAATCTTCGCTTGCGAATGAGTATTAATCTTGTTCAGTGCAAAGAGGATTTCCATACAACCCCATACTTGATCATGAAAATACTTCTCTGTTAATTTCGTTTTCGATTAAGGAAAAGGAATGCAAAAACCAATAGATTACCTGATGGTAAATTTCTTCTTAGATTTATTCAATGAAGCTAGTCAAATTTCATATTGCCAACTCATTACTAGTCTAAGTGGTCACTTATCATTAAAGGATTTAGACGTGAAGGGATAACTTTGGCCAAAAAAAAAATTAAAATAAACATTTTTACCTTTGGATGAAATGATGAAATGATCCTCAAAGGTGAGGTGCAAATTGCATGCCAAAGTTCAGTCCGGGGGTGCAAAGGCCCCATTACACTTGGCCTTTAACCATGCCAGTGGCCAAATCTGGTTGCTCAATTAGTGGTAGCACCCTAACAATATCCTGAAGGCACAGGTCTGACCCACTCAAAGCCTGAATTTCCCAGGCTCCTTTCCCTTCAGTTTCTTCAATTGCAGTTCACCTGAAGCAGTTACTTCCCCCTTTACTTGTTTTGGGAATTGTTCATATTCATAATTGATCACCCCCGTGTATGTCTACCAGGCCAGTATCAAGAACAAAACAGTTACTCCAAATAAACAATTTTTTGAAATCTGAGAGGGCATAACACAAGGAGGCTTTCTTACACTTGTCATTTCTTTAGCTCACTCTCACTTTTGATTGTTGCCACCCTGTACTTGCTAAGAGCTTGACACAGTCTATAAAAAGTTATGACAAATTTTTTAAAATGAAACTTAAAAAAACAAAACAAAACAATAACGCTCCCATAAACTATCTGAAAAGGAATTATATTGGAACAAAGATCAGAATTTACAAAATCTTACCATAGTCACATAATGTGATAATTGAATAAAATCTTGCATTCTGATTGGTTAACAGAGTGAGGAATTGCAAGTTGAAAACCAGGCTAAGTGATATTGTTTTGCATATCTTATTCCACACTCAGATAAAAACAAACTATATTATTGCTGTTTCCCTTTTTATTTTTATTAAATTATAGGATTCAAGGAAAAACCATTACCTGACTTGTGAATTCTGTATTAAATTGCACTTGAAAATAAGTTTTTTCATGCAATTCAACACAGAATTCCCTCATCAGCTAATGAATTTTCCTACAGAATTAAGATACCATTAAATTCATAAAAATCATGAAACAAACCATGTTGATGAGAAACTTTTATTAAGTTAGCACTTTATCAAAATAGAGGCTTGTTGTCTTGGAATATTTATTAGAAAAATACCCAACACCTGATTAAAGACTGAGGATTGAAAAATATTTGCCAGCTCAGTACCTACACTTTCACCCTTACGATATTTTATGTTTACACCCTTTGAATGACAATAGGTCTAAATCTACTGTTGATAATCTACCAAAGTATTGATTGAATTACTGGCACTTTAGCCTAGTCTTGAATAATTCTACTGAAGCTTTATAAAAAAAAAGCCACACAAACACACACACACACACACACCCATACCCTTGACAATACTCCATACTCCCAACACCACATCTAAAATTGTTGAAATTCTTAGTCAGTACCAGACTGCTGGTCTGCACTCACAATGAACTAAATCCAGGAACACTCTGGAAGACTCAAAATAATTAAAATACTACACTATCAATACTACGATTATCAAAAAATCTTGGACTAGCATCATAACTTTAAAAACTTGAAATTGCCGAGGTAAGCACAAAGTATAACCCAGTGAGTGATGTACATCAGACCAATCAGCCAAGTTGACACTCTGAGTACTTTCAATTAATCCAAGCTAGTTTAGGATGAATGTCCCAGAGATGTCTAGCTCACAAGGTCCAAGTGTGTTGTTAGCTCCTTTTAAATATTTTGTTTGGGGTTCGAAAAACCCAATCCACTTTATTTAACTTCTCTAGATCCATTTTCACTGTCACTATATGCACTGAGGCCTACTCAAAGCTAAATAATTTTTCATTGTGGTTGAAAATTGCATAAGGAACCTTGCCAAGTAAAAAAACCAGAGGTGGAATTCAATTGGTTTGGAGCACAGTAAAAAAAGAAACAAAACAAAAAAATAAAAACAAAAACCGAGGGCTAACACGTGCGTGACATACCTAGCTAGAATGTCACTTAATACATTGTAAAGTAGTACTGTACAGCAAGTGAAAAAAAAAAACCCAATCCTGGCCAGCATCACACAACAGGCTGGTTAAATTAGAAAAGTCGTAAAACATTAAACAAGGGAACAATTTCTTTCTTGTTAAAACCACAGTAGTCGTTTCGGAAGGAAGTGGTCCAAAAGTGTGATTTACATATTGTACTTACCCTTACAGAAATGTTCCAAGTAGCCCACATACTTAACTACAGAACCTTAACCCCTGGATTCAAAAATACATGTTCGATCTTTTGCTGATGATTTACTTTTCAGATCCTGATTAGAATTTTCAAAATGTGTCGAGAAATTTACATTCACTCCTGATAGTTCACATACATGTACCTTAGTCCCCTTTAAAGATGTTTGCAGCAATATTCTATTGCCTACACCACAAAAATGGCTGACTATGCAATCATTTTCTCTCGATTTGCAGAGCTCTGTCACCAACATGTTAAGAATCCCCTTTAGAGAGAAACTTCTTCAAGGCAGCCGCCATCTTGGATGAATCAAGAGGTAGAAGAAGAGACTCCTCGCAAAGTTTCTTTCCATTCTCGTCGAGTCTGCCTTTACGGAACAAATCAGGAATCAGATGATCTTTATAATCTTGCACAGTAAATTCTGGATGCGCTTGGATCCCAAAAATGTTCTCAGTAAATTGGATCATTTCATGATGGCAGGTTGCTGATTCAGCCAGATTTGTAGCTCCGGGGGGTAGAGTCGCTACACATTCACCATGGCACTCCAACAAGCGAAGAGGACCATTAAGGCTTTCGATTAGTTCCTTTATTGCTTTATTTCCTCGAAAATTCTTATCTGTTTTGACTTCTTCGCTCTGCAGGACGAATTTTTGCGATGGATTTACCGTGACTTTACCACCCAGAGCGGCTCCAATTAATTGATGGCCGAAGCAAACACCTACGATGCGAACCTTGGATGAATTCACTGAAGAAGAAATAAATTCCTTCAAATCATTGATCCACTTGATATCATCGTTTGCAGAATGGGGACTTCCCGTGATAAAAAAGGCGTCAAATGTATCCAAATCCTCTTTGGAAGGTACTTCGCCTTCAATAGCAGCGAAAATATGCCAATCCTCGTCCTCATTCTTGCTTTTGAAGATGTCGACATATCGCTTTCCTATCGATGACGCGCCACCCCACTTTTCGTGGTTATCGCAAACTACAACACCATAGCGAGTCCCATGACAGCTTCCTGTGCTTGATGTCATTTTGAATCGTCGTCTAACAGCGGTAGTAATCGTTCTGTGCTTAAACGAACGCACAAACAACGGAAATGAAGAAAGTGGGTTGATTTTCAAACAACTTCAAAATTTTACAAACGTTGAATACAGTCCATAAACGCGCCAAGTTTTGTTTTTTTACCCGAGGCTAAAGAAATTAGGCAATAAAATAAAACAAAATAGCAAAGCGACGATAATTTAACAAAGCACTGAATATGTACAATTCGTTCGTGAAATGACCGAATAGTGTACACCTTCGCACGACATAAACAAAAGAATAACCGATCGTTTTCGAACGATGTTCAGGCCCTACGCATCTGTCAAAGTTTTAGAGCAAAACCTCTGGCTTTTTTTTGCTTTAAATTCAAATTCTCCTTGTTTTTAAGTGTTGAAATAATCCTTTTAGCCACAGATCAGACATACTATTCATCCCCTTCATAGATTTGAAGCGTGCGAAATTCAGCTGCAATTTCCGATTTTCCGGTCCTTTGTAATGCCGCCGACAATCTCATCACCCCACCCCACCCAACTACGTTTCATAAACATCTTCGAAACTTGCTTTTTTGCCCTAGGGATGAACTGCCTGCAATTCATATCCATTGAATTAGACGAAAATATATTTTAGAGTACTTTCCCTCATCATAAACCTCATGGATAAACAGAATACTGATCTGTGATGAAAAGAAATTGCTTAGCCCTCCCTGGTGGGATAGTTGTATTGAAGCTAGAGGGTGTTTAATTTAATGCAAAATTGTATACAGTCTAACCACGTGGAACATAAATAAGTTTTACCGCCACCTCTGACAGTTCATTTCTCATTCGAATTTTTGACGTTCGGTCGAGTCAACGAGACGATTGAGTTCATTTGGTGACCCTGTAATTTATTCCTTATCTTTCCAAGAGTTCCCCTCTTGCTTTAATTCTTTTCTTGATGTTGGACAAGATGAATGATAGCACAGTTCCCGTGCAGATGAACGGCGAATCTCTGGAAAACGGCACAGATCACAACATGAAGACAAATTTGATCATCAACTACCTACCGCCTTCGATGAGCGAAGGGGAACTCAAAAACTTATTCGGTGAATTCGGAACCGTGTCGAGCTGTAAACTCGTACGGGACAGAGTATCTGGCAACAGCCTTGGTTACGCGTTCGTAAACTATGAGGAACCTGATCAGGCAGCAAAAGCGGTCAGGGAATTAAATCGGCTGCGAGTTCAGACCAAGAATATCAAAGTGAGTTATGCTCGACCCTCATCAGAGGACATAAAAAATGCCAATCTGTACATTAGTGGACTACCAAAGGCAATGAACGAGGAACAGCTAGAGGCACTCTTTCATAAATATGGTGAGATTATAACATCAAAAGTTCTCAAAGACGAAAACTCCGTCAGTCGTGGTGCTGGATTCGTTCGTTTTGACAAGCGCTCTCAAGCGCAAGCTGCGATCGACGCGTTGAATGGCGCGCAGATTCCGGGTGTAAGTCCCTCGGAATCTTCTAAACTGACCGTGAAGTTTGCCAATCCTCCGAGCAACAAGCCTCAGATTCCGTTTGCCTTTCAGTCACCAATCGGTCTTACTCCGCCGCAAATTCGTGGAAATGCAAGATCACCGTTCAGCGCTAGCGGAGTAGGGCCTCTGTACCACCAAGGCGCGAATTTTCGCTACTCGCCGCTCACGTTTCTTCAAAGCCCAAACAACAACACCTTTACTCCGAACGCTCTTGTCCCCGGCAGTTACTGTGTTTTCGTCTATGGCTTACCGTCAGACAAGGACGACGGAGGAACGACGAAAGTTGACCCAGAGAAGCTTTTGTACAAACTATTCGCTAAATACGGTGCAATTTCTGACGTGCGCGTGAAGAAAGGCCAGAATTTTGGCTTCGTTAACATGCAAAACTATGATGATGCTCAACAAGCGATCGCCGGTCTACACGGACACCGAATAGCTGGACACGAGGATAAACCTCCTCTTCAAGTATCGTTTAAGACGCCGAACGTCAAGAAGCAATAAAAATGGGAGCACTTTGACAAACTTGAATCATTCGCCGAACATTCACACGAGCCAGAGTGCCAACAAAGATGGCGAGTCGAACTAGTCTCGCCCTTCCTTCCGCCCCACGTCAAGCTTGCTATCAAAGCTTTGATTTTTTTTCCTCTTTTCGTATTTTTCCCCTAGTTTTCGTTTGATCTTTTAATCATAGCCCAGGTTAGGGAAAGCGATATTTGCTGTTTGGCAAGGTGCTTTCTTCCGTTAAAAATAGTTGGAAAATTTAGATTTTACTTTGACTTTGTGTGTTAATTAGAAAGGTAAATAGAGTCCGTCTATATGAGGTATACCGGAATTCTCAGAGATCAACCAAATTTTTGACCAATTCTTGATAATATTTTAGGCAGGATCTTAATTTAAGTGCACTGTTTGTTTGGTAATTCGAGCTATTTTCTCGATAGAAACTTCTTAGTTTTTGTGAGACCATGTTCGTAGGTGTTTTGACAGTTCGGCATAATAGCACCGGTCTTCGATTTCTTTGGTTGAATCCTTATTTACTTTGCTGTATTTTTGATTTGTCGTTGCGATCGTTCTTTCCGTTTTGGATTGAGCATTTCTACGATCATCTCAGTTTTGTTTTCATTAAATTTTTCTTCTGTTTTTCGTCGTGATGATTTTGTTTTATTTTTGTTGTGTTGTCTCCAATATTTCTTCTCTGTTTGATCTCTACGATTTATTCATTCTGCCCTCCGAGTGCCATTATTCGAGGTAGCCGATAAAATTACCAATTTCATTTGTTCAAAATTTTGTTGATTGGGAAAAATGCAGAAGATAACATTCTAGAATTATTCGTTTGAGAAAAGATTATTGCTTTCGCTTTTGTGTCGAAAATATTAATTGTTAGATTCCTTGGGGGATTCATTTATTTAACTTATTTCTCTTGCTAGTTTCCCTTTTTTATCTGTGCCATGCACAAGAAAATTATAAATGTTTAGAATTTGCTAAAGTAAATCCACTCAAAAAATATCCTAGTTTACTCAAGTGTTACTGTAGCAAGCCATTGGAGTTCAATTTACTTTCAGTTTCATATTTGTTTTCTCAGTTTTCTAATTGATGCAGTAGAATTTGTAGAAAGATGTGATGGGAGTTAGGGTTTTCATTTGAGTGGGCAACCAAACATTGGAACATTTGTCAAAGGAAGCAATCGTCGAAAGCCTGGTTGGAAAGGATCCAAGCAAAGGAATATGAACGAGGTAATCATCTCTTTAAAAATTGATGAACACTGTGCCACAAGGTTTATCACTAAGATCAGCAAAGATTAAGAATGCTATGCATGATTACTTCATTTTTTTTGTTGTTGTGATTTAATATTTTTTTTTAAATGTGAAATTTTCTTGCAAGGCCAATTTTATCGTTTTCTCTTGGTGGGTCAGATCTTGAGTAGGAAATCTTTTACTCCCAAACAGCTGCTTTCACAAAGTGGTTCATTTCACCAAATTGTATACAGGTGTTATGAACTAAGTCAAAAAAAAGAAAAAAATTAAAAATGAAATTAATCATGAATCAGTTTTGACAAGCTGGCAGTGGGCTGGGTGGGGAAAAACGTGTAATGTGATTGGCTGAAGAGAATTCATTTCATTAAAATTAATCTGCTATTGTGTGTGAAATGCCTGCTAACAAAATTGATTTGGGGAAAGAAAATAAATATTTAAGTCGGTGTTTCTGTAAATTTTCTACCCTGTAAGTAAAGCATGTTTTTTAACTAAAAATCATTATGAAACATTTCATTTACTATTTGCACAGATTTTTCTGTTGTACAAAAAGAAATCTATTTGTGGCTACCTATGGAGTTTTTTATCAGAAAAAAAAATACTCCATTTAACTGGCTTTCTTTCAAATAACCACCACATAGTCATGTCTATTTTGCTTATAACCTCCTGAGTTGATAGAAAGAAGAAATATTTGCAAATGGTAGCTTTTCAATTAATAACAGATAGAGAATGTGTACATTTTTATTTTTGCAGTAGAGCAGAAAGAAAGATCTTAAAAACATTTTTATGAAATGATAATGAGAGGGATCAAAAGCAATTTTTATAGAATTTCAGATCCATCATATTCAATAAGAATATTCCACTTAACTGGAAAGACATTTCTACATGACATTAAATTTACATGATTGGTGACTATTTTTTTTTTTTTTCCTGATCAGTGTAGAATATATTAAGACTCTGCCTCTAAAAAGGTTTGGGTGAAGAGATGATGTTGATTTTCATTTCATGCGTGGGTGTTTTTCCAAAGCTTTGCAGTTCAAATTTCATATCTATGTTACTAGTAGATCTCTGCATTTTGAGCATGGTAATTATATGCATAAGTAATACAAATAGCTGAAGTTGAATTAGTGTAACACTGAACTTTATATTTGAAAATTTTTGTGAATGATTTGTAAGTCAGAACCCGATAGCTGTGTTACCATGGTTATTAGCATCGTAAAATCATATATTTCTACAACATCTGCAATCCCTTAAAAAAGATAAGTATTCACAGCAATCTACAAAAATTTTATTTTTCTTTGTGTCTCTGTCAGATCAGTAACTTCTACAACAATTTTTTAATGCAGTTTTTGGAATGCAGGGCTGTGGATTGTAAACAATTTATTGGCATGTCAGGTATAGGGATTCACTGTTTGGTCTAGACTTCTTCCAATCAATAAAATGCTTCCAACAGAAGGAAATGGGCACTGGAGACGCAGCTGGTGTTTCAGTAATTAGTGGGCTCATATCCCCTGATTTGCAGAGTCAATAAGTGCACCACATCTTCACAAAGCAACATATGTAGTTTTCTGAAAATAGCAAATGCATGTTTGATGCAATATGTGATAGGCAGGATTATTGTGACGGTCATGTTCCTCAGCAGGTTGTCCGATAAAAATATAATTGAAGAAAGGAATGATAATTTTCATTTATATTCAAATCCTGTTTTAGTTAAGTTTTTCATTACACCCTTTTTTTGTAAGTAGAGGATGTTTGGTCTCTGAAAAAAAGTAAAAGCATTTTAAATTTTAATTGATCCAGATCAAGGAAAAGTGTGTCTTTAAGAGAAATTTGAAGGTAATCAAATAATTCTGTACATGTTTGGGAAAGTGAGACAGCAGTCTGTTATCATTAGATAAGATAAATTAACTGAATATTCATGGTTGTATTTTATGAGAAGAAAAAAATTGACTTAATTTTTGTTAATTTTGTAGAACTGAAGCAGTATGTTTGGTTTGGCAACAACATCAGTTTTGCCATGGAATACTTTAAAAATTATCCAAGAATTTGTTACAACATTTGTATCTAAATCAAAGGAGATTCAGCAGGTTACTGTAATGTATTTCTATGAAGAATTATCCCTCCTAGTAATCCATCAAACAATTTTTGTTTTGAGCCCAAGAATAAACTCTTGCTGGGCAATATTTTATACTTAACTTAAACCTACTAACAAATTACTTAGGTATTTTCTGTTGCAGAAAATTTCTTGGTCTTACATAATGGGATATTCTCAAGGTTAGTTTTCATTTCACCAAAACAAACTAAAGCTCAGAAAAATAAATTCATGCTCTACTATTTTCTTAGGGGAGTCTACATTAATGGTAAAAAATGAACATCTGCTTTAAAGGTGAATGTAAATTTCCCTTGCATTGTAATCATACATTCAGAGATATTTTCAAGAGCAAATAAAAATATTTAAAGAGTCTACGAATTATAGAAAAAAATGGTTTTCTGTTTTCCTGCTGCCGATAGAAGTGGAGCAATTTCCTGAAGTATGTTTTAAGTACGAAAACAGTATAACCTGACAAAATCAAAAGAGAAATCAACTGTCTGTAGGTACAGGTTACTCTGTATTTCATCAAGCTAATTGACCTTCTGTGAAAGTATTGTTATGAAAATTTCAATGTAAAAATGTAATTGCTTGTGGAATAACAATGATGGCACCTTATGTGTGAAGCTCTTCACGAGTCCTTTGAATATATCCATAGGATTAGTGCATTAAAGAGACCGCAGTAAATTAATTCCTAAGATGTTCTTGCTTTAAATATTCAGTGTGAAAATCTGTCTGCTATAACTTGCTTTCCTGTTCCAATGTTTTTTTTTTTATTAAATATTCATATGGTTTAAAGTTTCTTTTCTTTACATTGCAAAGTTTTAAATTACAGGAATAAAAAATTTAGAAGGAAGATTTTCATGATAGCTTTCACTGACAGTAATAGCTAAACCCCCCTGGTTTTGTTGTGGTAAATATCAGCTTTTATGATTATAAAAATTACAGATATATGTACAGAAATATCCTAAATTTGGGGTAAATTATGAACATCATCTTTGTAAGGTCTGTGGTAGATTCAGCATGGAAGTTTGAGAGCCAGAAACAAAAACTTTTAACATCATTCTGAGCAGCTGAATGGAGATCTTACATATTGTGAACAATTTCCTCAATTTAAAATGGGCAAAACATAAAAAATAAATATGATTTTTCTTATGTTATTTGTATAAAATATAGAGAGGGTAGTTGAATGAGACAAGTTGAAATGTTTACCATTGTTCAACTGCTACCTGGTGTATTCAGAGAGATGGTTTCTGGTTATACCTTTTCTGTATTAAAGATATTTTACAAGCTTAACTACAAATTAAGATAAGAAACCATTTGCATAAAATTTTGACATTTATTTGTGTGCTCAACATAATGTACATTGATTGCTAGTGAAGATTTATGGACCTTTCTGAACTGATAGCTAAAAATCTGAACAGTTTAAGTGCTATAAAGATTTGATTTTTGTGATGGTGGGAGTTTCATTTTCTGAACTGTCCAAGCAAACTAGAGAGGAATTAAAGCAGAATGTTCTGTGATTGTTGAAATTAAACAGAATGACAGCTGCTTCAAATAAAGCTGTCAAAGATCAATTATGTCAGATGTGAGAGATCTAAGTATATTCTGCTTTGAATAATATCACAACTGAAGAGACAACCAGGTCTATTTTCACCCGATGTTAAAAGTTTTAGAATTTTTCATGAAGAAGGCTAGAAATTTTTGTATGAAATTTTCTACAGAGAGCTTTCTCTTGTTATTAAGATGAAGTTTTCTCAATGTAATACCAAAAGTAAAATATAATGGAAGTGGATATCAAACAACCAGACATAACACTCTAGCCATGATGCAGTGAAAATTTTAAAGGACTTGGATCTTGTTTTGCTGAATGATGGATATCGAAAAGCAACACCTCATAAAAAAGCCGTTTTGGAAATTCATTCTACATGTCATTGCAGTTGTACACACAGGAAGTAACATTATCATGAAGATAATACCTTAGGATAATCATTACCCTGGGATATTTGTAAACATGACGAAATCCTCTAAGAGCATTAACTAGACATCTACTTAGCCTGTGTCACACCATAATTAAATAATCACCCAATTCCATGGCTTAGGAAGTTATGAGCTTCTTTTCATAATCACCTGGGGTCATGTATAAACTTGTTTGAGATATTTCCAGTTTCTTCTGCCAGGGGGGTACTTGCACCCTGCAGCAGGAACAGGAAAAGATACATACCCTATGAAAAACAACCCCTATGCTGAAATTGGCTTTTTTTGTGCATCAATTCTATGGAAAATGGAAAGGTGTAATGTAAACAATGTCAAGCTAAAAGCATGTGGGAGGGATGCAATTTCCCAGGGAACCATTAAGCTTGACACAGAATGCCACTGAATGGATAAGAATCCCAATAGATGCATTTACCTTATGTATATTTTATCCCACAGCTTTGAAATGTTATTGCTTTGAAAAAAGAAACTATCAATCAATGCCCAAAGTGCCTGTCTTGAAATCTGCATATTTATCCTTTGTAATTATCTTGAAACAAACCTCAAGGTAAATTCTAATTAACAAAAGGAAAGTATTCCTTCATGGAGAAGAGAATTTTTTCTTATTGTCTTTTTAACCTAGAGGTTTCATTGAATGGATGGTAGATATATTGTTTCCACTTTTAGCACAATAGCCATTATGCTTGTGGCTTTTTAAGTATTCTCACATGGAAAAGTTTCCAACATTAGAGAATCTGGCGTGAATGTTTTCATATTTTTTCATTTTATCTATTTTTCCAAACCTAAGCAGAATTAGATACAAGGTGAAAAGCTAATTAAAAGTAAAAAATATAACATTTTCAAGGGAAGAAAACTTACAATACAAAATTACACCACTTAAATTAGGTCACATTGTACATAAGAAGGAGAAGAGAGGGGCATGTCTAGATAAACTAATATTGTGGCCCTTAAATTATGTCAGTATAAGCTTTTATGTCTTGCCTAGGTGTAATCAGCTCCCACATTCTCATTAACTGTTGACTGGGATTGTTGGGAAAAAATCCCAGGGAATTTTGAAATTATTAGTGTTAGAAGACTAACACTAATAATTTAACCTCCTTGCAAAGTTTTGTACTAGATTTTTGGTGAAATGGCAATCTTCTCTATTAGCAGTTATCTTCCTCAACTAAAAAGTAGAACTGATGTGGCTTCTAATTTTTCTGCTTTCTTGACAAAATAAAATGGTCAAGGCATAACATTCACTAGTGATAAAAGTAAAGCATGTTCATTGCTTAGAAATATTTTTAGATTTGCATGTCATAAAGAGGAAGTACTCTAAGATTAAGGCAGCTTTGAAAAAGCTTAAATGCTCAGGAAGCTGAGGCAAAAATAATACTTTACAGTCGCCTTAATTGCATGACATTGTTTTATGAAAGCAAAACTATCAATATTTTTTTTTTTCGATTGCACACTTCATTAATTTTGTCTGTCACATTGCACAACAATGGTAATCATGGAAACTAGGTTTCAATAATTGATTTATAATTATTTTTGAAAGGAGAACAGAGGATCACAACTTTGTATTTACATTGCTTCAAGCAAACACTTAAGTCTTACAAGGAAAGTCAAACATGTTGGTGTGATTCTAGGCTGTAAAAACTTTGGAGTTGATATTAATGTTTGCACTGTCAGTTGACACCAGGAAAAAGTAAAGAAATTCATCATCTATTTCCTCCTACCCCAGAATTTCATCAATGAACAGCTAATTGGCTTTTCTTAACAAGTAATCATTTTCCATTAATTTTCAGGTGAAAATGCGGAATGACACAGTACATCAGAGATTATCAACACATGCATTAAAGTTTTGAAAAAATCAAACCAGTCAAAATTAGCTAGGCCTAAAATATTAATCAAGTTTTCATATCTTAGATCTATAAATTTTGAGGGAAGAAAAGGTTTCAGCTAAAGACAATGATGGAAATGAAATTATACATTTCAAAGTCAATTTTTCCCCTGGAATCCTAAAATGGAAAAAAAAAAAAGATGCAATCTCAAAGCTATTTCAAAGGTTTGCAATTCATCACTGTCCCTTTAGTGTAATTTATTATGAATTCAATTTATCACTTCAGAATCTTTTTCTTCATTCTTTATCTTTTTCTTCAGAATCTACAGAATCGTTTTCTTCATTCTTTGTGTCAGAAAAAGATGTGAGACTATTTATGCTATGTGTCTATAGTTTGTGCCTGAGTGTTTAAGTCTTGTTGTGAATCATGTAAAGTTTACATGGACTGTATACTCAGTGAGGATAAAAGGCTTTACTGTGAGGTTCACTCAAATTTCTGTTTGATGTTGTAGTTGATTTAGATTAATAAGATATTTTACTGTCTGGAATAAATGATGGATTCCACTCAGAAGACTGAAAAACACATGTGAATTGTACACTGGGCCTATATTGAAAAACACATGTGAATTGTACACTGGGCCTATATTGCAAAACACATGTGAATTGTACACAGGGTCTATATTGGAAAACACATGTGAATTGTACACTGGGCCCATATTGAAAAACACATGTGATTTGTACACTGGGCCTATATTGGAAAAACACATGTGAATTGTACACTAGGCCTATATTGAAAAACACATGTGAATTGTACACTGGGCCTATATCGAGGGATCGACGTAGAGGATGATTAGTAAAACCCTTCATTTAAAGTTCCACTAAGACACTTTGTAATTATACAGAAAAGATACTTGTTTACAGTACTAACACCACATTCCCCTCAAGAGGTAAAACTAATTGTCCACTCCATCTAAATCTGTAAAAATGCTACTTCAACTTTAAGACAGAGCACTTGACAAACATCATCAATCAAAATTGATTAGAAAGGGGGGGGGGCGCAATTTCCAATGTCATCACACCAAATGAAAATGATTGCTGTTGATACAAAGTTGGGTTTTGATAATCAGACTTGTGTATACCCTTGTGAGGCTGAATAAAATCCAATCTCCTTATCATTTCATAAAGGGTGTTCACCAAGGATACAAGTTTTTGTTTAGGTGGAATGCTGGAGGGAGGGCATGTAAAGTTCATCTACAGATCCCCTATGCTATGTGAGCTTCTTTGTCATTTCTCAGGCCCATACCATATTTGGTGGATCTTGTTCTTGCCTCTGCCAAAGGAAATTACCACTGAAACTTCCATTCACCCTAAATAAAATGCCAATTCCAGCATTTTATTGGGTTTGTCCAATAAGGTAGAAAGTGTCTTTCTGCAAGACTTGAGTGTCAGTATAAAGGCCTTTTAAAAAACTTGCAAGGAAATGGAATTGGGTTGGTAGGTTAATTCCCACCAGCCCCTTAAGTATTATAATCTTAAACAGAAGGATGTTAAGATCTGATGGAGAAAAGTCAGGCTTAGGAAAGCTCCTTGACTGATGGTAGCTTTCTTGGAGGATCAACATTCGCAAATTACTGAAGCTGAGATGTTCACTGGTCACATTATAATGAAGGAGCATAATTATGTCCGAATGAATGCATTTATTTCATGCTAGATTTTGCATTCTCGTTACCACATTGAAAATCTGAGACACAATCATACAATTAAGTTCAATCATTTTCTTTGGTAATGACTGAAACTATAATAAGTACTCTGTCCAAATTGATATTCAGTGTTCCCACTATGATGGGAGAGACAAAACACCCCTTATTATTATGATTCTTACAATAGTTCCTTAAGTGACAATCAACAAAGCCTTCAAGGGGATGCCAACTGTGAAGTCCATGTGCAAAATTCACACTGAGTGAAAGAATTCTGTTCTAGAACTTTTCAAACAGTCACATAATGTAGGTGGGGTCTAATCATTGGAGAAACATCCCACACAAACTGTGCCTCAATCTTTTTTCTTTTTTTTAATTGCTGGTACCTGTTGTGTTTTCCGGGTCAAATCTTGCAGACCTTGATGAAAATTCCTGCATGACTCCAAGAGAGGAAGATACATGTTTCAACCCCACATTTTAGTTAATAGGGAATACAAGGATTTGTGAGAAGCTAAAGTTGATTGAATGAAAGTCAGCTCATGTCCTGCAGAATCATTAATTTTATAACTTCAGCTGAAATGAATGGCAAAAGTTTTGCAGTTTTCAGTTAAGAAAGATGCGTGAAATTTCAAACAAGGTTCACTTTTATTCCCCAACTGATAGTCATTGCTGTGGCGATGCTGTGATAATTTTCTTGAGCACTACTGACAGCCTTTTTAGTAAGCTATGGTCTACTTGGTAAAAAATTTAATTACAAAACTTATCCTGTAAAAAACCAATTCACTATTGTCCCCCAGCCATAACAAAAATTCACTTTCAATCTCTTTACCTTCTTGAAACAAGCAGTGAAGAGAATTTTGTCAAATTTTCAAAAATAGCTACAAAAATTACCAGTACAAAAATTTCAGATTTTTTTTTTAAATCAAGTGCCATTGTCCATTGACAAACACACACCTGTGGTGGGATATCTTCCTCTGTTTTCTAGAACACTGCTTGGTGAACAAATCCATGGGTCATCTGTTTCATTTTGCCATGCACTTAGCTTGCCGTGTAACTCCATGACAACATCCTGATAGGCAGGTTTACCATAGAGGTTTGTCAGCTCCTCTGGGTCACTTTTAAGATCATAAAGTTCCCACTGAGGTCGATAATAATACTGATCAAGTGTGCGAAACCATCTGGTTGGCTCACCCTCCTCTGTGCGATTCAGAAGATCTTGATAAGTGGGTGAGACAAAGAAGTCTTGATCAATAGGAAATGGCATCTTGTAGTTGAGGTTATGTATCAGTTTAAAGGATGTACTTCGAATGACTCTCATTGGATAATACATTGTCACTTCATGTAAGTTGTGGCTAGCATAGACTGTATCCCAACCAGATTGTGGTTCCTTTTTTAATATAGGTAACACTGACTTCCCTGTTAACTGTACAGGATTGGGTCCCAACAGCTTGTATGAGGGGTAATCAAGTCCAAACCAATCCAGAACTGTAGGAACTATATCCAGTAGACTGACCATAGCATCACTCTCCTGGCCCCAACGTTCAGGGGTGTAAGGTGATGATACAAGGTATGGCTCTGCCATGCCTGGATCAAACAGGTTTGTTCGACCAGTTGGGAATGGTATGCCATTATCAGAGCTGTATATGACTAAGGTGTTGTCTTCAAAGCCTGCCTGCCGAAGCTCCTCTAAGATAAGCCCAATGCCCTGATCAAGGCGACTAATTGTTGTATACTGGTTGGCAATGTCTTGTCTAGCTGCTGGAGTATCTTGTATAAAATATGGTACAATCACATCCTCTGGTGAGTAGTGTAATGGCTTCCAGTCAGGAATAAGCCCCATGCCTGTTTCACCATTTCCAAACTTCTCACAAAAGCTTCCTGTTCACACGATGAAGAAAATAATTGGATTAATAGATAATTGCCAATAAGTTTTTACAATAAACACAAAAACACACTAGATGGCAGGGGTTTCATTAAGGGCCAGGCACCTGGTGAATTGATCGATTGTAAAGATGGTTTTGCCCACCTGGTTTTACCATCTGGAAGGAAGTTTATCTTATAGGAAGTTCAGTTCTTGAAAAAGGTTTTGCCTGCCTTTGAAAACCAGTTGCTCTCCTGCTGAAAATGTTAATGGAACCCCTGATGTGGACTGTTTCAATGAGAGATAGACTAAGGCATAGTGGTCATAGGTAGGATTGTCCACATTATGCTGGCATACTGGTAATTTTGAGCATAACTATTCTCCCGAGGCAGAAGAATCAAGCTTTCTGCTGGCCAAGGATATCACCCATGAATCAGAAATTAGGGCAAAAAAAGAAAAAAATTAAAGGAGATGATCACCAACTTGAGAAGCTGTTGATTGTTAAATACATTCTCCTTGTCAGCACCTTAAGAAATGTGTGGAGAACAGTATGGAAAAAAAATGCACACTGGTGTGGGTTTGAGCTCTGTCAAGGGGGAGTCAGAGTGATTGCGTTCTGTTCTTTACCATTGTGCTAGTTCTGATCAAGAGATATGAATGCATGGTTACATGAGCCTGGCTAAAAGCTGTGAGGAAACCTGCCATGGATCAGCCTCCAATTGGCCACAAAAGATAGAATACCGGTAAGCTTGAGCAGCAGAGTAAATCAGTTCCATAACCGTACAGGGTTTGATTTGATTTTCTGTAAACTCTCCTTTGTTTCAAACAAATGAATTTATCAAGAAATAAATGTTGGAGTATGCACCCTCCACAACTGAAGAGTTAAAAGGTAATACTGAGTCATTACCTATAATATATTAGTAGCTATTCATTTAAGCTCACCAAATTCAGGATGGGTATGTCCACATCGATGGGGATCATGAAAGCCAATGTATAAAAAGAAAGGACGTGAGTCTTTCTGAGATCCTTGGAAAAACGTGTGTGTCAGTTCTTTAATGTAAGTGATGTTGCGGCCAACTTGAAGTATAGAATGACCTTCTTCTGTGTAAGCAAATTCAAATGGATAAACCTATAGAGAGAGGAAAGAAATTAAGAAATTGATTATATTAATTTTATATAAAAAAAAGCATCATGATTTGCTCTATGTTTGATTCAACACACCTGTAGTACCCATATGTCCCAAAAATGCCTGGAAGAAAATGTAGCACTGCATTACCTAAGATTTTACCAGTGGAGGACTTTCCAAATTTATATAGCCTCATGTACAAAATAGCCTACAGACAAGAAGAGTTCCAAGAATTCAAGACAGTTATGCAATCCCAAACACAGCTGTATAACTTTCAAGATTTCTCCTAATCTCTTACATGTTTAAATGAGGCTGTGTAAACTCGAAAAATAACAATTATAATGTTCATTCACAATCAATAAAAAGTGAAAAGGAGATAAAAGAGGTTATCCCTTTCTAGTTTATCTCCCGATAATAAAATAGATTACAACATTAATTTAGATATAACTATATATATATAATACATCAAAAATAAGAACTTAGCGTTAACTAGCAAAATTTACGAGGTGACTTCTCAGTTTGTTCTTAAAATATTCAAATTTGCTGCCTCAGCGATTTCCTTTGGCAGATTATTCCAACTATCAATTATACGTATAAAACATGAGTATTTGGAACTATTTAAGGTCGCTGATGTGAACTTAAGTTTAAAATGGTGATTGGCTCTTAAAGGCCAAAAATCGTGAGCAAAAATGTTCTCCATCCCTTTTAAAACAATCATATTTACATACTTTCACCTAAATACACCTAACAAACAACAAGTGTCCTTGTAGTATCTGTTGTTTTTTAAGATATCTTTTTGTCTCCTCAGCCTGGAAAATATGCTACATGTCATATTAAATCCTAGATTTTTACATTTTATACAATAACTTACTGTTTCAGGTCCAACATGCTTCTTTCCAATAATTCCAGTTCTTACATTTGCCTTTTGTAGCAGCAAAGGTAAACTTCTAACTGCATCAAATGAATTAAAGTGATGAACATCCTGGTGAAGACCATACATACCATTCTGATGTTGAGGAAGACCTTCAACCAAAACATCATCAAAAGTTGTTTCACAGTTCATATGTAAATCTCACTGAGATGCCAATGAAATTATGAAACGTTCATTATTGGAGTTGTTTTTGGGTGCAAATGATTTGACTCATCAGTGTTCTAGTACCTTGCTCATCATTTGGTAGACATCCTTTAGCTTTTCATAGAACACTCCTAATTATATGCAAAGTTGAAATACATTTAATAATGAGTATTTCATGGCTAGTTGAGCAGTTTCGTGTGTAATTACTTAGTTGCTGATGGTAAATTCTGGTTTGGTATGAAAACAATTCATTCTAGCTCAGTTTTCAGCAGAGCCATGAGGAGCTGAACTGCCCAACCTCCCGCCCAAAAATTGTGTGGGTCCTATCTTGAACGCTTCATCATTTTTCCCATACCTCATTTTCAAGATACAGGGAAAACACAGTGCTCGAAATTAGCGGTCATCCGGTCGTCTGAGACGACCAAAAAGTTTACTGGGCAACCAATTTTTAGTAAAATTAAGAGGCTGGTTGTCCGGGGAAAAAACAACGGACAACCCAGCCAAAAATAGAAAATCAATTAACCATAAATAGCACCTGACCTACGTGACGGTTTTGTTTTGTCAATGTCCGGTAGTGTGAAGTTAATAATAATTTGCCTCAGCTAAGTGTTTTCCTGTGTATTGGATATCTGTAAATTTTATAAAACATTGCCAGGTACGAAAATGTAAGAGACAAACACAAAGTTTTTTGTCTGGAGGTGATCAAGATCAAAGATGCCATTTTGAATATGCATATGCCACAACTTAAACCCAGACTTGTGCGAAAACCATTGCCGCACTCTAAGAGCTATGGGATTAGTTCACACTTGACTGCCATGTGATTTTCTACTGGGCAACCAAGGATTCATCAGGGTAACCAAATTCACAGCTTTGGTTGCCCGGCTTTTGAAATAGGGACAACCTGGATTTTTTTTAATTTCAAGCACTGAAAACATGTTTTGATTACCACTTTATTAATGACTTTTTAAGCTTCAACTACTGTGGAATCAGCAAAGGAGAAGAGTTTCTTTCCTGTTAGGTCACTTCCAGTTATTTCTATCTCTATGTCCCTGAAGAGTTCTTTAAGTGTATAATTTTTTCTCTTGATTTTTGTCCTATTGCTGCCTTAACTTAATAACCCCCCTCTCTTCTCAATAAAGGGCCCTCCTTCCAATAAGCGTCCCTCCTTTTAGCTAAATTTTAAAATAAGCACGCAGGTTTTTATCAGAGGAAACGCATTATTCTAGAGGCAAGCAGGCAATGGATAACTCTTCCCCTCACAGCCTTCAAATCAGTTATTATATCAAATGGGCTGCAAACGTATATATTTAAGATCAATGTAGTCACTACCAAACCCCTCATGGAGGTTGCTTATATTTGCTAAAGCATTTTACATATTATATATTTTGTATTTAGGTCAACTTCAGTGTGACATTGCAGTATTTTGATGTCTTAAAAATAGCCAATGAGAAATGAAATCACACATTTTCTAGGTATGGCCTTGGTTTCATTTTCAATAAATGTGAAGCTGATTAGCTAGCTGCTTAATATGCAAATCATATGGACTGGAAGTATAAATAGGTAACTCTCTGAAATGTTTTAATGTTTAGATGTTTTTTTAAATGTTTTAATGTATTAATGTTTTTTTTAATCGTAATTTTTCTCCAAACATATTAAATTACGCGAAATTTCGTCATTGAAAACATAAAAAACTAGAAAATATTACAAATTTTACCTGTTAGAATAGTAGACCTGCTTGGAGAGCAGCTACTTACAGAAGTGAAGGCTTTTCTGAAGATTACACTGCGTTTCCCCAAAGCGTTTAAATTTGGAGTTTTGCAGACCATGTTATCGTACACCTGCGTTTCGAAGCCTGCATCGTCTCCAATAATTACTAGGACATTCTTTCGTTCATTTGATGTCGTTATTGTGGAAATCGAAGACAATAATATGAGAAAAGTGGTTACATTGGGAAGGCGAAATATTATTCCAACGCCTGCCATTTTGCAGTGTTGTTTGTCACAAGGTATTAGATTCCAGATCCCTCACAGGTATTTCGCAAGTAACGCCTTGAGGAGCGCCTTGAGATTTCTGCGTTTCGAGGCGACCAAAGCGCTCCCGTGGCACGCATTTCGGATTTGTGACTGATCTGCGTTTCGAAGCCTGCATCGTCTCCAATAATTACTAGGACATTCTTTCGCTCATTTGATGTCGCTATCGTGGAAATCGAAGACAATAATATGAGAAAGGTGGTTACACTGGGAAGGCGAAATGTTATTCCAACACCTTTGTAGTGTTGTTTGCAAACAAGGTATTGGGTTCCAGATCCCTCACAGGTATTTCGCAAGTAACGCCTTGAGATTCTGCGTTTCGAGGCGACCAAAGCGCTCCTGCGGCACGTGTTTCCGATTTGTGACTGAAACCAGCATGGGAAAGATTAAGGTAAAGAGTGATGTTTTTTTGAGAAGATTTTAGTTTATGAGCATTGATCCAGTTTTTGATCAAGTTTTTGAGAAGATTTTAGTTTATGAGAAGATTTTAGTTTATGAGAAGATTTTAGTGTATGAGCATTGATCAATTCGAGATTGAAAAACAAAAACACTTCACACAGTGTTCCCGTCAGTCAGCCGTCGTAACATACACAAAAGTCACTTTAACTTCTCAAGATTGTCTTGTTAGAGGATAGTAAAAGGGGGGTCAAGATCCCGTTTCACGAAAACTAAATCGGAATTAAATACTTCTTTCTCATTTCACGGAGAATTATTTTGGAAAATCACGGCTCACGGCTACGAATGTCACGATTCACGAGAAATAAAAAAGCCATTTCACGTTTCACGGGCAAAAAATAGGCCATTCACGAATCATGAAAATACCCATTACCACCCTCTCGTTATTTGCACACTTAATGCTTCTTTCCACAAATGAACAAAAGGAGAAGAAGTATATTTAAGGCTTGGATGTAGGGTCAGATAGATTAGGCTTAAAAGTTTTAATCATGCTCTATTTAATTCAAAATAATAGCCCATAATAATAATAATAATAGCCCATAAGAGCCCCCTCCACTGATTCCTACCTCCAACCTTCAATAGGTGAAACAAATAACAGGCTTATCGAGGTTAATTGAGAACACAACATTTTACTGGATCAAATTACTTAAGTGCAGGCAAGAAAAGCAGGCTCACTGTATATATTAATCAGGCTTCATACTGAATTTATCTCTTGTTGAACTGCTGGTAACATCTGGGAATTTTTGAAAGCTAACATTGTCACTAACAGTGCCCTGACTAGTAATCTGCTCAAAATTATTCCAGAGCAATTCATCTCACCTTACCTGGATGTCTAATGTAGTGTAAAAGTGTATGAAGTCTGATAAATCTAACCTGACCAGTTCAGAAAGGATATACTGTATTTCCTTTTTTTAAAAGCTTTTTATTTTTATGACCATATAGATTGGAATCATTGGTGGCACTGGTCTGGGTGATCCTGATATTTTAAAAGAAGGAAAAGAAAAAAGAGTTTCTACACCATTTGGAGAGGTAATATTTCATATTATGTTGTGTGTTCTAGTGTGGTTGATTGAGCAATGGAACATGAGGGCTAAGAGTGATGTATATCAAACTGTCACCTTGGTTGCAAATACTGGGGAAAAATTGATTTTCAATCATACAAAAATCAAAATTAGGGAAAACTCAACTTTCATGGTCTTTGCAGTGTGAGGGGAGCATTATCTCTCTCTTGATCAAGATACTGCAGAATATGTCATGTCATATGATGCTGGTATTTTGAAAAAGTTACTCCCTCACCAAAATTCCATTGGCACATGTCTCCAATACAATGTTAGCTTAAAAAAAATTGCACTATTCTGCTAGTCTCCAATTCTTCATAGATAGCATTTCCCTGACCACTGGTTGGTTCCTATAGTCATAATAGCTTATTGCAGAGAGAGAAACTCACCTAAATCAACCTGACATATCCTTCAACCTTCATCTTCTGTCCAGTCTCAGCTTTTGTTAATTTTATTCTCTATATATATATAACCTCTAGACTTAATTAAGTTGGTAAAATCCAGGGACGTCGCACCAACTGTAATATCAAATCCCTAATATTCATCTGGGATTTCTTATACTTTGTTAACATTTAGTTGTGTTCAGTGGAATCTTGTCAATAAGAGCACTTAATGATAAAACATATGTATGATGTAACTGGCAGATCAATTTCATCAATATAAAATCTTGAAGATTCAGTTGAAAAGCTCTCCATACGACCACTCGCATAAGTGACCAGCTCTTGCTTCAACCACCAATATAAAAAAACCCTGTTTTTGAATATCACGTAAACTCTCTGATGGAAAGTTCTTGTGAGTCACTGTTCGTGTAGGCAAAGGCAACCACCTTCGGGATTACCAAACTGGACTTTTCCATTGTTTTTAAGCTCTTGTAAGCAACCACTCAAAGAGTCTGGTGTATGTATATCAACACTTAAATAGAAATACAACACTGTGCTAACAATGTATTGATAATCTCTTGAAGCTCTGGTAAGCAACCACACTCCATTGATTATAATTTTGGTCACTTACTAGCCTATTCTCATAAGCAACCAGCTCCAGTTGAAACCACTTTTTTTTAATTCATGGAGTGGTCGCTTATGAGAGCTTTAGACTGAATCTAGTAACCAGCCCATTATTTTGTCCAAAGTGTAATGGTCCAGTAGTGGTTTCAGGGATTGTTAGGACTCCACTTAAGTGATTCTGTGGTCTTATTATTTTATCAATATATCATGTTGATATCTTTTAAGCCCTCAGATGCCTTAGTTATTGGTAAAATATCTGGAGTGGAGTGTGTTTTGTTAGCAAGGTACGTACATCATTCATCAAAATGAATTGTTATTAGTATGACATTATCACCACCATCGCCATGGTAGTCCCCATCATTATCATTATTAGTTACTTTAAATATAATCTGAAGACTCTGTTATTATGACGCCAAAAAAAAACATTTGTCTTATTTTAATCATAAGGTGCACACTAGGACTTTGAATTAAATCAATTATTTTGAATTACTTAAGATTTTGTTTCATAATTTAGTGCATATTTATTTAGCAATGGTCAAGTATCCTGTTCAATTCAGTGTTTCTAAATTCTTAACTTTTGGCAGCAACTACCACCCAGAAACTATTGTAGAAGCTCAGGGTCACCCAACATCAAAGCCCAACTTCTCTTTTAAGCTTTAACTTTCTGTAACAGTGTGCACCTATTGTTATAATAATCAACCTGTTAGGACCAGTTCCTTATTGATTTGTCTTGCTCTTTTCTCAACTTTGTCTGCAGGCATGGTAAGAAACACACTGTCATGCCAACAAATATCAACTATCGGGCAAATATTTGGGCTCTGAAAGAAGAGGGCTGCACTCATGTCATTGTCACTACAGCATGTGGATCTTTAAAAGAGGAATATAAACCTGGAGATCTAGTGTTTCCAGACCAGTTCATTGATCGTACAACAAAAAGAACATCTACATTTTATGATGGTAAAGAAGGAAGCCCACCTGGAATCTGTCACATGCCTATGCATGAACCTTATTGTTGTCATGTTAGAGAGGTTTGTCCTTTGTTTATCTTGTATGAGAGACAAGCTGAATAACATCTGTACATGTCACAATATGTGAATGAAAATGTGGTGCTCTTAAACTGCAGTTTTATCTCGCACTAACTTGGGGTAAATTTAAAGGAATTAAAAGTCATTTTCTTTCTAAAATTTTAGTTAAGATTTTAGTTAAGATGACTTAAAATATTTTATAAACTTGTGGTCACTTTTTGAGGAAAGAAGTAATGATCCAAATTTTGAATTCTAGAAGAACAGCATATTTTTAAAATTAAGTATGTAATCTTCTTTTAATCATGTGTATCTATTTTGCTTATCCGATGTAGTGGCGCAGGCTTGTATTTTAATCAAATGGTCGGTCCACATCAGTATTTATGTCTGGCCCATTTCATCAATGTGCTCTTCATTTATCCTACTGATATGCCAATACAGTAACTGATTTAGACTGCTTCTGTTCCACATTTAACAACTTCTTCTCTTCACTTGTTCTACTTCATTTAGTGTTTTTTTTTTACACGTCTTATGACCACTCATAAAATGCTAAAGAGAAGGTTTTTTAAAATAATTACAAGAGGGTTAGACTGTGGGCAGTTTGTATCCTGTTTTTTGTTTACTGAATAGATTAATGCACCCCTCATATATTTTTCAGATTCTTGGTGAAGTTGCCAAAGAATTGAATTTAAGTCATCACAGCTCAGGAACCAATGTTGTTATTGAAGGTCCTCGCTTCTCATCTAAAGCTGAAAGTAAAATGTTTCAAATGTGGGGAGGAGACATCATCAATATGACAGCTGTTCCAGAAGTAGTCCTGGCTAACGAAGCTGGTCTTTGTTATGCTGCTATTGCTATGGTGACTGACTATGACTGTTGGAGAGATGACCATGAGCCAGTTAGTATTCTGTCTCACTGTAAATAATGCAGGCTCTGACTAAATCTCCTCAGAATTTGATACCAATTCGTAGTGGTTAATTTTCAATACAAGAGTGTGCGAGTTTATGAGTGGTCCCTCCTTTTCGGGGAAGTCTGTCCTGCAAGTAAAAAAAAAAAACATAAGGGAAAAAAATTGGAGTGATGCTGATGTGCCATGGGAGCTCCATGAGTGAAGTGCTCAAAAAGTAGGGCCGGTGGACTGTGCCCGACAGTTTGAATCGTGTTACAAAAAACAATTAAAGTCGCCTGCAATTTTGTATATGGCATGCTGACTCACTTTACCTTTATTTCTGTCAAATTGAATAGTAAATGAATTACGTTAAACTCTGTCTGATCATTAATAATGTTGTAGGTGAGTGTGGAATCAGTTATGGCAATCTTCAAATCCAATGTGGAAAATGTGAAAAAGCTTTTGTTGGTGGTAATACCTCGTATTGCTGCAAAAGAATGGAATGGCATCATCAAAGACCGAAAGGTAAGTTCTAGATCTTTGATTGTCTTTATTATTCAGTAACTAATAAGATGTCACTTTGTCAAAGTTATGATCATAATAACTTTTATTTTAATTTATAGTCATTCAATATTATTTGCACTAATTGTAATAAAGCAATCTTTGTGAGATCCAATTCTCTATGAGCTTTTAATTTCCCAGAAGCGATTATAAACATAACCTTTCACTATACAACAAATTTGCAAAACATCATCTACCAAACAGCTGATTAAAAAGGGAAGAAAATTATCACCCATAGGGCATGAAGTTTATAGAAATGATGCAATTCTGTTAACTTAATGATGTAACTCAGACAAGAGATAATTATGGATCAGAAACATGCTTGGTTTGTTTGTTTGTTTGTTCTTTGTGGCTGAGGTGGCTACTAATATGTAGAAAAAAAACATTCCCCTAATTTCCAACATTTTGTTTCAAGTACCAACAGTAATGCCAACACTTCACTTTACACTCAAAACTCCAACTCTAATCTTTTTGAAAGGTAAAATTCTGGCTCATATATTTCTTGTTGTGCTTGTTTTTGTCTTAAAGGCTGCTGTCACAAATAACCTCGTGCAACATTGAACCTGACCATCCCAATAAAAGTGATATGAAATTAGTCTACAGGTAGCAAAAACAACTTTAGGATCTTGAGGATTTTTTCAGTGTACATAAAGAAATGTGGGATAAACAGAAACCTTTTCACTTGGGCTTCTTTAAGAAAGCATTATGATAAGTTAAAATGTATGGAAAAAGTACGGCAAGTATATTTATATCTCAGTTTACAACTGAGATAATGATTATGTAGATTTTACTGATCTTGCCATTCAAATCCTCTGTAAAATCAGATACAACAAGCCTAGAGGCTTCAATACCTGCAAGGTTGTCCTGTAAAATCACTGATAATGTCAAAGTCCTTATTGCTTTCATTTGTGACATATAGTAAATCTTCCTAGGTAGTACATAATTTCTCTTTTTGTTTTTGTTTTTAATTGCAAGGCACACCCTGTAAGAGGTACAAATTAAATTTAAGGAATCCTCATGTGAAAATAGCTGAATGAATTTCATTCCAAAACCAGAAAATAAAGTGAAAAAGGCTTGAAAACCAATTGGTGCTGTTCTCTGTAGCTCTTAGGGATTTTAAGCAAACCATGACGGTGACGGCAATGAGAACAAGGCTAACAAGAGATCAAACAGGTAGAACAATAGCTCAGCATGTGCGTTTTAAAATTTTGTACATTTCGTAGCTGTTCTCTACAAAACAACAGTGTAAAAGGTAAGCTTCCATTTAAAACCCGAGGCTGCTTCCTTATGTTATGCGGAATGGAGGTGAACAGGCTAAAGAGACAGTTAACATATCCAGGCATGCTCGAAATTGTAACTTAAAAGATATAAATTCAATTTTTAATTGACGTTTTCCCCAGTGTCACCATTCTGTCAAGAATGGGGGACGTTTCATCATTTATTACATGGGTTGGG